AAAAAAAAACTTAACTCTCACTCTAAATGAACGCTTGGAAGGTGTTAGATACTTTTGCTGCAGCCGTATTTTGGAACTGAAGAAATTACGTTAAGTAGGTACACGTTTTTTTTTTATGACTCATAAGGGAGAGGTTGTTGGATGCACTCTCCAATTGCAAAATTTACTATCACAAATTTTGCGATTTTTCGTGATTGAAGACCTGTCTTTTATTTCAAAAGCTCTTTATTCATACATACATAGCGCTAGCTTAGCGTGCTTAGTCCATTTTTAGAAATTTGACAGGAGCGGAAAAAACGTCTTATAGCCATTTCATTCGAGTATTTTGCAAATTTTACGTGTTTAAAGCAATATGAATCCGGGGGTTTCGATCTTTATTAAAATATTTCGTATTATTTTGGCCTTATCGGATTCTCGGTGCCTATTTTAGACTTTGCAAATTTACCTTTAACTATTCCGTGTCGCCTTTCGAATTGCATTGAGTTTCGAATCGCAATACAGATTACATATACCCCCAGATTATCCGGTTTTTATCCAGATATCCTGTTCTGATCCAGATATCCGCTTAATATCATTTAGTTTTGCTATCCGGATATCCGGTTAATATTCGTTAATTTTGAATTCCGGTTAATATACGTTAATCAGGTATCCGGATTATCCGGATATTGAAAACATCTTCCCAGCCCTAGTTTAAACCGTGTGGCTATTGTAAAGCCCTGCCTAAATCGGCTACTGGCACTAAAGACAGCGTGGTCTTAGTTGATTGGGCAAGTGGTTGGTGCCATGGGGCACCTTCACAAACCGGATATAAGTTTGATACTTGCAGTAGCCAGCACATAAATTTTCCAGATTTACGGGGTCTTTCGCGGCAGCTTAAGCTCTTTGTCTGTAATGGTCTGGTAGTGATTGAACGGTGGGGTGCAATAAGGCCATACGCAATAAAGCCATATGACAATAAAGCCATATTTTTAGGCAATAAAGCCATACGGCTTTATTTCCAATCAGAGAGAGAAATAAAGCCATAAAAAAATTTTGCAAATGAGAAATAAGCCATATTCTGAAATGACACTCTCAAGGCGAATTAATAAGGCGGTGTTACCGGCGAATTTGAATTTTTCGCCGTAGAGAACATTACGCCCAAATGATGTGTGTGACGTCCTCTTGAAATTGATAGTTAATTATTTAAATTGATACAAATTATTACTAATAAAATGAAATAAATAATTATTTAATATTTCCGGATTTATTGGATATTGGAAAATAAATATATGTACTCAGGTAAGTTTTAATTTTGCGAGTGCATAACCTGGCGCGTGTACATTTGCTGGCTCCCCGCACCGCGCCACGCACGGTCACGCCGCGCTCGCGACCCCCGCGTCCCCGGCGGTGAACGGCGGAGCGGTTGGACGCGAAGGAGAGTAATTGCATGTTTAAGGTGACGTTGTAGTTAAAGGCGGTTTAGTAGTTTTGTTGCGAACTTTTTCCATTTAAAGCGAAATAAAGCCATATGGCCTAATTACCAATTGTAATTGGAAATAAAGCCATATCGAATTTATGGCCTTATTACCAAAAAAAAATATGGTTTTATTTCCAATATGGCTTTATTGCGTATGGCCTTATTGCACCCCACCGATTGAACACCAATTACGACATTTATGGAGCGAGAGTTAGTGGACATGGTAACGTTCTCTCTCTGAATGCCGCTTACCACCTCACTATACAGGGTCGGCTCCAGTGGTCGTTGCAGTTAGTCCTACACCTCGTCCTTCAATTCGTGGACAAGTCTTCTGATGCCCCTAAGAGGAGAGTCTGCCTCCAGCAAGTGTCTTTTCTGGTTCCGACATTGTTAGCAGCCGAGTATAAACTGCTTGCTAACGTAATGTGTTGCTCCCTTACCAGAAGCATCTGCGCTTCGCTATCCAAATCCAGAAGACCCTAGGATCCTCAGGTTATTCAAAATCGGAATTGGTGCGATCGACGTGAAGTCCCACTGCAGCCTGACCTTTTTCGAACCGGTAGTAAAGATGGTTGTCGTGACTTTCGTGGGAGAGAGGGCTGCGCTAGTTTTTAGCGCGAAATTCAGCGCTGATTTTTGCAACCACTCTGCGGTACGAAATCTTGGTTCGCGCCGATTGGAATCAGCTTTATGATCGGCTCGGCTTTCAAGGTCCATTCTGAGGGTGTCAAGTGGTACGTAAAGTACGGGACGGCACTGCCCCGAGTATCTTTAATACTGGGGAATGGAGAACTACCGGACGGCAATATACTTACCAGCCAACAAGATCAGCACGGCTATAGTAGTGGGACTACCCTCCATCATTTCCATACCTAGACAAATTGTGAATCTTGGTGAGGCATGCTACCTCCGGCGCACCCATTTTTTTCAGCATAAGCATGCATTATTCGTCAGGACAAATGGATTTCGCCTTTCGAATGGTCGCCTAAACCTCGCCTCTGGTAATAGTGCGAGTTCCACTGTGTTTTTTGCCAGTTTTTGTGGCTTTCTGATAATTCTACGCTTAGCTGTACCCATCGAAGGATGCACTTTAGGTCCGACGAAGCGCGATCAACGAGTAAAAACTCCACTTGGAAGCAGCGCTTCGTCTGGTTGGACCGCGCCGTACGGATGAATAGAGGTTGCTCGCTCTTCAGGTGCTCTTCCCACTCTCTCTGTTTACCCTGATTAACCAGTTGTCGAGTCAACGAGTGCGGCCGCAAGGCACTGCAGCATGGGGCGGAGTGGTAACTTATACACTCCAAAATTGTGCGCAGGTCAGAACATTGTCGAAAGCGGAACCAGAAAAGGGCAGGAATTGTCACGCACGGAACTGGCCGTGTTGGGAGTCAAGAGCAGCTGGTCATCTCTCACACGTGTGAACCTGCGGACTGCCTGAGTTGGAGCCTTTGGAAGCATGCACCAGAAGAGTTGCACATAACCGTAGTGAAGGACAAGGAGTTGTCCAGGGACGAACAACGATTAGTAGGGTTTACAGATCTAAACAGGATTTGATCTCCCGAATAATAGCTCTTGAGCGGGAAAAGTTCGAATCTCTAGTCAGTCCAAAGTAGCACTTGTTGTATTGTGGAACCATTTTGCGTCATTCCTTGTCTGAAAATCGTTCCGCAATACATCGTAATCCTAGCTTGTCAACCAAAATTAGTGATTCTCAATGGAAATCCTAGCTAGACATTATTACCGGTGTTAATTCTGGTTCCCAAGAAGGCGAAATTCTCGAGAAGTAACCAAAGTAATTTGAAACTTCGTATTTTTCGAGGTCGCTGATTTCGAATATAATGTAAGATTTTTGAGATTCAAAATGGCGGATACAATATGGCGAACAAATTTCACAATTTATTCCTTTTCACCAAAAACTCATGGGGGGTTTTCGAGGTCGCTGATTTCAAATCTGATGTCAGATTTTTTAAAGTCAAAATGGCGAATCCAATATGGCGCCCAAATTTTATCATTTTTCATTGGATCCATTTTTAAAGACTTTTCTTAGTTTACAGTGAACATGCCGAAGCGTTGTAACTTTCACCCAGCGTTCGAAAGGTATGTGCTCCGAGTACTCGCTAAAGTTGACATAGAATTTCTAAAGCAAGGAGAGGACGTCATATGTATGAGCAGAGGTCATATAATCAAATACTATGCCCGAAAAAAGTTAACTCACCAGCTGCGTCTGCTGTGGCTCTTCCAATTAAGAGAACATTACCAGTATTGACTACTAGGTTTAGCAATAACTTTTCCTTCCTGGCAGTCACAAGTGTCTTTTTAGTTACGTTTCTTTGAGGTTCAAGGCAAAGTTACCAATGAGTTGTTGTTTAGAATTTGGGACGCATAGGTGCGTCGCGTCCTGTTGAGTACATATTTATAAACACATTTAAAGAAATGTGACTAAAGTTAATTTGTATACCCTGCATAGACTATTCTAATAAACGTTGCTTAATTTTTCATATGGGTAAGCATGTGTATGTGTGTATGTGGTTGCTAAATCCCATAAGGTCTAAAAAGTTTCGTAATAATTTTCCATATACATAATAAGATAAAAGTGAACAACACAGAATACGTTAATTTTTACGAGCAACCAACTCTACACGCTGACCTTAATTAATCCTCTTTCTAGCCAACACAATGCAAAAGATTTGTAGACAACTATGTATGTAACAGTATCCTTGTTCACCCATTGCCGTATTCACCTGGCGCATTGTGTACAGAAAAGACAAAACTGCCAACACTCGATGACCCCATTTAACTTGGTTACACAGCTTTATTTTGTGACCCTGTAAACGGCAATCCCCCTTCACTACATTCTCTTGACTTTTACGTTAGCGGCGTTGCTGGCTTTTGTCCAGTTCACCGTTGTTCAATAGTTATTATGTGAGGTGGACACTATTGCTGGTTAGCTTATTTTTGTAATTTACATAAGTAGCATATATGTACATTAGACTGAACCAGAGCAAAAAAACGCTGTAAAACCCCCGAGTCACAGTCTGTTGTAAACATATACATATCGAGTTCTTGTCTCAAGGAAAAACTTTTTTTTTGCTCCAAAATACATTGACTCGTACTTAACCACCAAATCTCAGTTCACCCTAATGTCAGTAAATAAAAGCTCGTCAAAAATCAGGTATTCGATTATTCCAGTAGAACCATAAAAAAAAATTTTTGCCCAAATTTGGGCGTCATCAAAAAATGTAAAAAAGCGTCCTATAGAATCGCCCAAGCAAATATTTTGCGAAATTGCCTTGCAAAAATANTGTTTCCCCAAATTTGGGCGTCATCAAAAAATGTAAAAAGGCGACCTATAGAATCGCCCAAGCAAATATTTTGCGAAATTGCCTTGCAAAAATACTTTAGGGTGGTACGGTCTAATGTACATGCATACATGCATACTACATAGTATATATGTATATACGGTATACTTAGATATTCTGAGGTAATCTTTTTGTTATGCTCAACTAATAACTTATGCATTCTTTTCCTGCGCTTCCCCTTTTAGGCTATGGTCGCCGCGAGGTAGTCGAGTTTCTACTGAATAGTGGCGCTTCCATACAAGCATGTGACGAGGGTGGTCTACATCCGCTACATAATGCCTGCTCATTTGGGCATGCTGAGGTCGTACGATTACTGCTAAAGGCTGGCGCAAGTCCCAATACAACAGACAATTGGAATTACACACCGCTGCACGAGGCGGCCAGCAAAGGCAAAGTGGACGTTTGCATAGCATTGCTGCAGCATGGTGCCAATCCGAATATACGCAATTCAGAGCAGAAGACGCCACTGGAATTGGCCGACGATAATACACGACCTGTACTCACTGGCGAGTATCGCAAGGATGAGCTATTGGAAGCATCACGCTCTGGTGCAGAAGATCGCTTACTGGCATTGCTCACACCATTGAATGTGAATTGTCATGCCAGTGATGGTAGACGCTCAACCCCGCTACACTTGGCGGCTGGTTATAATCGCATCGGTATTGTGGAGATTCTATTGGCGAATGGTGCGGACGTGCACGCCAAGGACAAGGGTGGTTTAGTGCCGTTGCACAACGCCTGCTCGTATGGACACTTTGAGGTGACCAAGCTGCTGATCAAAGCGGGTGCCAATGTAAATGCGAACGATTTATGGGCATTTACGCCATTGCATGAGGCAGCATCGAAAAGCCGTATCGAGGTATGCAGTTTGTTGCTGAGCAAAGGCGCCGACCCGACGCTGCTCAATTGCCACAATAAGTCGGCAATCGATTCGGCGCCAACACGAGAATTACGTGAACGCATTACGTGTAGGTTTCCTGAGTTGGTTTTAGTTAAATTAACAGTTAGTTACAAATGAAGTTTTATTGTATGTCTTGCAGATGAATTCAAAGGGCATTGTGTGCTGGACGCATGCAAGAAGGGTGACATAGCGCGCCTCAAAAAATTCCTCTCCTCCGAAACTGTCAACTTTGTGCATCCATATACGGGCGACACACCGCTACACGCCGCCGCCATTTCAATTGATCCCAAACGCAAGCAGATAACAGAAATACTTATACGCAAAGGTGCGTTGTTGAACGAGAAGAACAAGGCCTTCCTAACACCTCTACATCTGACAGCCGAGCACTTGCTTTACGATGTGATGGACACGCTGCTGAAGAATGGCGCCAAAGTGAATGCGTTGGATGGTCTGGGTCAGACCGCATTGCACAAGTGCGCCCGGGATGAACAGGCCGTGCGTCTATTGCTTTCGTATTCCATAGATGCAACTATCATTTCGCTGGAGGGCTACACTGCAGCACAGCTAGCCTCCGACGCTGTGTTAAAGATACTTAAGGATCCGCCAGATACGGAAACACATCTATTGGAAGCCGCTAAAGCGGGCGATTTGGACACGGTGCGTCGCATTGTGCTCGCCAATCCGCACACAGTAAATTGTCGCGACCTGGATGGACGTCACTCCACGCCGCTGCACTTCGCCGCCGGCTTCAATCGTGTGCCAGTCGTAGAATTTTTATTGGAGCACGGCGCAGAAGTGCATGCCGCCGACAAGGGTGGACTAGTTCCACTACACAACGCTTGTTCGTACGGCCATTACGAGGTCACGGAGTTGCTGGTGAAGCATGGCGCGAATGTGAACGTGTCCGATTTGTGGAAATTTACACCGCTGCATGAGGCGGCGGCCAAAGGCAAATATGACATTGTGAAATTGCTGTTGAAACATGGCGCCGATCCGTCGAAGAAGAATCGCGATGGTGCCACGCCAGCTGATTTGGTTAAAGAGTCCGATCATGACGTAGCGGAGCTGTTGCGTGGCAACTCAGCGCTGCTGGATGCCGCTAAGAAGGGTAACTTGGCGCGCGTACAACGCCTTGTTACACCGGAGACGATCAACTGTCGTGACGCACAAGGACGCAATTCCACACCACTGCATCTAGCGGCTGGCTACAATAACTACGAAGTCGCTGAGTATCTGTTGGACAATGGCGCCGATGTCAATGCACAAGACAAAGGCGGCTTGATACCGCTGCATAATGCCTCTTCCTACGGGCATCTGGACATAGCGGCGCTCTTAATTAAACACAAGACTGTGGTGAATGCCACCGATAAGTGGGGCTTTACGCCGCTGCATGAGGCCGCGCAAAAGGGACGCACACAATTGTGCGCGCTGCTGCTTGCACACGGCGCAGATCCATACATGAAGAATCAGGAGGGTCAAACACCAATCGAGTTGGCGACTGCGGATGATGTGAAATGCCTATTGCAGGATGCAATGACAACATCCTTGGGCGACTCGACACTTAGCTCCTCGCAGCATCGCTGGTCAGCAATTCACCTTCACCGGCACCAACTGCTGCTGCGGGCGCAGCAGCGAGTACATCTGCAGCGCCGCTGCCGCTACTAGCTTGACTGCCGCTGCGGCAGCCTGCAATGTACTTTCACCAACTACTGAGACCGTAACACTGCCTTCTGGTGCCTCGATGACGCTTAGTGTACCGGTGCCGTTGCCGCTGTCAACGCGCATTAGTCCTGCGCAAGGCGCTGAAGCGAACTCTGGTGATATGACCAGCGGTGAAGAGGTGCCCGATCCCGATTCCATTACCAATGTGGCCAGCTTCTTGTGCAGCCAACAGTTGGAGCATTTGATAGATCTCTTTGAGCGTGAACAAATCACGTTGGAAATACTAGCGAAATGAGTCATGAGGATTTGAAGCAAGTGGGCGTGTCTGCGTATGGGTTTAGACATAAAATATTGAAAGGTATTGCGCAGCTGCGCGCCACCACAGGTGAGACAGTGTGCAAAATATTTATTTTATATATTCTAATGACAAGTATTGCGCTCTTAAAACTATACAGGCATTGGCAGCAATGTCAATCCAGGTACTCTATTAGTGGATCTCTTGCCAGACGATAAGGAATTTGTCGCGGTTGAAGAAGAAATGCAGGCTACCATACGTGAGCATAGAGACAATGGCCAAGCGGGCGGCTACTTCACACGCTACAATATTATACGCGTAAGTCAAGAAAGTTTAACAATATTTTCGATTTATTAAAAATAATATTTTTTTCAGGTTCAAAAGGTACAGAATCGCAAACTTTGGGAGCGTTACGCACATCGCCGTCATGAAGTGGCCGAGGAGAACTCCATACAAGCCAATGAGCGTATGCTCTTCCACGGCAGTCCTTTCATCAACGCAATCGTGCAGAAGGGCTTCGATGAGCGTCACGCCTATATTGGCGGAATGTTTGGTGCGGGTATTTATTTTGCTGAGCACAGCTCGAAAAGCAATCAGTATGTGTATGGCATTGGTGGTGGGATTGGTTGTCCATCGCACAAGGATAAGTCTTGTTATGTTTGCCCAAGGTGAGTTTAAGTTGAATTTAAACGAGTAAAACACTTGTTCCGAGGCGATTGTAATCCAATTCGTGAGTGGAGTAAAATGATTTTTCAAGCCTTTTTTTATTTATGGCGTTTTCGTTTCTACCGAAAAAGGTTACCTTCTCTTTGCCCTCTACGCACAAATACTTAGAAGAGGGCAATGAATCCAAATAGCGCGACTGATCGCTCGCTAAATAAAAAACGCTACAGAGTTGGGCTTTCGAATAAGAAAAAAAAAATGTTAAAAACCCTAAGCTGGCTAACCGCCAAACAAATTTTGACATGGGGCAATTGAAATCATTCGCAAAATACATCTACATATGTTTCAGTAATACATACTTGAATACATATCTGGTGCTCTCAACATCTTAAAATCTTAGAAATTATTCGATATGATTTTTCCAAAATTTGCATTTCATTTTGCAGACAACTGCTTCTGTGTCGCGTAGCACTGGGCAAATCATTCTTGCAGTACAGCGCAATGAAAATGGCACACGCACCGCCAGGACATCATTCGGTTATTGGTCGACCATCAGCCGGAGGGCTACATTTCGCTGAATATGTAGTGTATAGAGGAGAGCAGGCAAGTGAAAAATGCACAGCATCTAAGAGATATATTTTTTCATTACATGCCTTTACTTTCTTTCTACTCTAGGCCTATCCCGAGTACTTGATTACTTATCAAATCGTTAAGCCTGATGACAGCAGTAGCGGCAATGAGGAATCGAGATGATGGCCATCAGTTGGTTCGACGCCCACCACTACTTCGCCTGCACAACAGCAACACCAACATCCGCAGCTACAACAGCAACAGCAACAACAACAGCAGCAGCAATTGCAACATCAGCAACCTCAACAGCAACAAAAACACCACAATACGATAACAACAACAGCAACACATCACGCGCATCCGCACACGCACCAGCACTCGCATCCGAAATTGCAACAGCAGCACTCACTGCCACTGCAACTGCAGTATCATCATCACTCACAACATCACCAGCTGGTGACCACCACACAGCCTTCACCGGCTGGCACGTTCATCAGCCAGACGGCGGGTATTATCACAACCGTTGCCAACAGCGATATGCTGGGCCACAATGGCGATATTTCTCCGCTCTCTTCCAGCAATTCTTTCTCCTCAGTGGACACCAATCAAACACTACTTAACTCAATTGCCAACCAAGCGCAACTGCAACACCAACAGTCGTCCTCATCGCATATATTGCCTCAGCTGCCACCGCCGCCCACAAGCAATAACAGCAGTTCCAATCGTCATGGCACCAGCAATCGCTCATATCGCACCAAGTATAGCCAATTCATGATAATCACACCAGCGGTCTCCATTGATCGTGACTATGAGCATGATGAAGCTTTTGGCAGTGGTGGATCCGCTGCAGCTGCGTTAACTAACAATTTCGACTTTGATGAGGATGCCTATTGCAATGACAACAACACCAATGCCAATGCCAATGGCAACAACAGCAATGCCAATAATGGCAACATTTTTCGCATGTCACTACTGCAGAATAGCAGCAGCATTGATAGCGGCAACAGCAGTGACAGCTCTTTCCGCTCCAACTACAATCCCTATCTACATCACAGTCGCCAACATTTGCTACCCAAAGGGGCGCCACATTTCTACACGTTCTCCTCGTGGCGCTGGTGCACACTAATTTGTGCTGCAATGCGTTGCTTTGGTGGCGGACATAGCTCACATGCGCCGTACAGCACCAGCTTTGCGCGGCCACCATATCAGCGTTCGCGTAGCTCCGGCGCACAAACAACCCGTTCCTCGCAGCCACATCGGCGTTTGCGCTCCTCTTCCTTTACTGCTGAGACGGCTTTCGAGCATTTCTCGGCACCCTTTAAGGCGCGCAAAACGCGCGACCATCTCAACAACATCACCTACGAATTGTGACGGTGGCAGCAGCGATTACGACGACCTCAATGCCAATTCGAATTTGAGCCCCGCAATTGTGTGGTGATGGCCATTGCAATTGTACTAGTGCTACGAACAATTCGAGCGACTGCAACGCAGAAAGCTATTAACGCGTTTTTTGATCTCGTATTCGTATTTGTATGCGCTTTGTTGATCGGCAGCGCAACATTAAAGCAGCCGTGTTGTTGCGAGAGTAGTACCAGTGCCGACAGCACAGTGTCATCGTATTCCACTTTGAACGTTTATTATTATTACTTATTATGAAAGAAAACAAAAAAAACACAAAAACGATAAGAAAATCAAACAAAAAACTATTACTCGTATTAAAATCTTACATTTACTCCATATTTCTTGTACTTTTAACTTATAGTCGTCGTCGTCGTCGTCGTGTTATAGAAGAAACTGAACAAGTAAATAATATACAACATAAATATATGATATACATAGATAAGTGTGTACACTTTAGGGCAACGTTTTGAGGGAATGAAGAATGCATAAAGACTAAGCGAGAGAAATATAGAGAAAAAGGGAAAAAATTAAAAAATCAGCAGCAATGGAATGAAAATCAAAGGCAATTAAGACGGAGATTCTCATACGCCAACTTAAACCTGATTGAATGCATTTGCTGAAGTATGAAGCGAAGCTAGATTTGTACTTCTTTAACATTTAACTTTTTTCTTTTTTTTTTTAAATTGCATATGACTCCCGTTTGGGGCATTTGAAGAGTGAATTTGTGCTCTCCGCGCAATATATTTCACCATTCGGCCAGATCTCACCATTTAATTTTTATGTTTTTTTAACTAAAAATGTGCGAATTTGTTGTCGTTTTCTTGCTTCATTCATTGCATTCATGAAAAAATTAAAATCACTAAAGGAAAAATGTCTAAAACTGCAATCAGAGGTATCTTATGTCAGGCCATAATCAGTGACCATGGTATATACATATGTACATTTGTTACGACCAAAACATTAATGTCTCAGATGTAGAAACATTTGTCAGGTCTGCATGTACAGTGGTGGTCATATAATTTGGGACGCATTCAAATATCGATGCCCCTTTCACCCAAAAACAATTTTTTTAAGCCCTTCCGAACCGGTTAACATCAGTAATTCGAGCGGGCCAATCCAAAACACTTTCCTGCAGAAAACCAAGCTTTGTTGCTCCTAGCAGTAAGTCTTTGATCGTTATCCTGCATAAAAATGAATGCAGCAGGCACATTCTCGTCGGAAAATTGCCTTCATTTTGTTCATCCATATATCTTTGTACAGATTTTGATCCATTCGCTCTGTTATCCGACCCGCACCAGACCACGAAAAACAAGCTCGCACTATAATATTTCCTCCACCATGCTTTATGGTCTTTAAAGTATAGCGAGGATCGAGTTCTTTGTTTGCGGCACGATGCACATACTTTTTTCACATCCGATCCAAATAAGTTAGATTTGGATACTTCGATGTTAATCTAAAATTCTGAGGCTATTCGGCATGTTCTCGTGCAAAGTGAATGCAACGTTTTAAATTCCTGTTTGCGGATTTTTGCTGCAATGCATCCACCCAGTCCCCCATCAAGTAATCGGTGTCGAATGCCAGGGTGTCTCTCGTCTCTCGTAGTATGGTATTACGATCTATACCACACGTGTGTCACTTTTATACTACAAATCATTGTAGCTGCTACGTAGCAAAGGCAAACTATAATATTGATATTGAAGTTTCTATACTACATGTGTGCACCAGGCATAACGGTCCTTGTGGATATGTTGTTGTAGTTTACCCTTTATTGCTCATGGATTTGCGTGGAAGTCAGAAAAAGTTCAGCTTTGCTCGTTCTGCTAATTAGTTTGTCTCCTGCTGCACTCGTTTTTTTTATACCTTTCATGAGCATGAAATGGTATTATAACTTTGGTCCGATGTTTGTAAGTACCAGAACATAAAGAGATAGACCCATGAAAATGTATACTTATATGATCAGAACGTCGAGCTGAGTTGATTTAGCCATGTCCGTCTGTCCGTCTGTCCGTCTGTCCGTCTGTCCGTCTGTCCGTCTGTCCGTCTGTCTGTCTGTTTGTATGCAATCTAGTCTCTCAGTTTTCGAGATATCCGGATCAAATTTGGTAGGTGGGTGTATTTTTATAATGTATTAATCATTTGTCGGAACCGGAAGAATCGGACCACTATAAC